TGAAAATCCCTCTGCCCCCCCCCCCCCCCCCAAAAAAAATGATCTGGTTTAATTTAAAGAGTTTTAGTAACAGATGATTAGACTAATCTTGAAAGTTTACTCACTTATGCAGAAAGACGATTTCTACGTTGACATCATCCCTATCCTTGTGCAGGAAGTCCTTCAGGAAGTTGGACACACTTTCGAGTGTTATGTGACCACAGACAACTATGTGCCTGTTGCAGAAAAATCAGAGTTAATCTTGCAAAGGTAAAACAAGGAAGCAAGAAAGCAGAGAAGGAAATTGTAATTTATGTGCCAAACCAGAGAATTAGTCTCTTCTTGATGTTTCTCTAGATCCTGTTCCAGAAGTCAGAGGAGGAAAACGTCAGTTCCAAAAAAAAAATGTTTTGGCATTGCAAATACACATACACTCTCACCTGCAAAGACTACTATTAAACCATTTGCCTAAGTTGTATTATACATTTAACATCATTTATGTATATGTTTATACACTGTTTTAAGCAGTCCCTTTCAAAATCATATTCCTCTATTTTACACATCTTTCTCCACATATTTACGTCTTCTACTTAATTTTACTGTTTGAATTTTTGGTTTATGATATAATGAGAGAGTAAATCTCCCTAAAATGATTTGATATTTTACCATGGTTGAAAGTAGACATTTATGCCAAGGAAGGCAGTACAAGGCTTGTCAATTATAGGCCATAAGCAATGAAAAAGAAGTATTTTTCCTACCATAATTTCTACAAGGAGAGTATTTCACTATAAAAAAATCATTATTTATTGCATCACTGCAACAGATTGCTTAGAAAATCAAAGTTTTGACAGACTGAGATGTCACAAAGGTTTCTACTGCTCCACATGTCCATTACAAGGTGGAAGCACTATATATATACCTATATGCACATTCTTGAATTCTACATCTTAAATTCTGAGAGGTAGAAGAAAAGGCCTAGGAAATTGCACTCTTCTTGACTTAAGGGATCTTTGCACATTTATTATTGTAAAGCAAAGTCTGAAAATTTGTGGTTAGAATATCTTACATTGTCTCACAATTTCCTTCACGGAATAAACTCGACCCCAGCTTCCACTAATGTCATGTGTTTAAGATGGATGGTGGTTTTGATATGCCTGTTGCTAACAATTTCAATAACCACATCGCTTACAGAAGTCGGGAAGCGGGACAAAGTGGTATAGATACAATTCCTGAACTAACAAAAAGTCAGCTTCATTACAGTCATACAAATGACTTCATATACAGTCATATAAAGTGCACAAATGCTACAAACACCCAATTTCAGAATTTCACAAACTTATTTTAAACTTGAACAGCCAAGTTCAAAAGAAAGTAATTGCAAGGGCAAAAGCAGACCACCCATGTCTCACCTACTTCACAATTGTTCTGTGGAAAACTCAGTAACACAGATAACTCGTTGGCTGAAAACAACAAATAATATGTGGCAGCAATGATTACTTATGTAATGGGCTATAATAGGAGACTGTTCTTGCTTCATAATTTGATCCTTGATAAAATGCATGTGAAAAGTGCATAGAATTCATTGGAAAAGGGATAATTATGCAGAATAATGAATAAATCAGTAAAATGCATCATTCAGTTAAAAGTATCACAAAATGTTACTTTAGCAGTGGTTCAGATGATGACTAGAAAAGCAAAACACAATAAACTATCATACCAGTCCAGCACATGTTATGAAAATAGTGTACTATTATTACTTTTATAAATAGTGTAACACGGAGTTTTAAAACTTTATTTAGCAATATGATAAATTCAAACACTCCGTTTGCATGAGTTCTTAGTGACATCACCAGGCCTTAAATGGAATTTCAGAAATAGCAGCAGTCAAAAACTTCAATGGTTTCATTCTTTTTAACAGGCAAGGAATATACGGTCATATGAGACTGTGATCATAGAATCATAGAACGGTTTGGGTTGGAAAGGACCTTAAGATCATCTAGTTCTGACCCCCCTGCCATGAGCAGGGACACCACACACTAAACTATGTTGCCCAAGGCTCTGTCCAACCTGGCCTTGAACACCGCCAGGGTTGGAGCATCCACAGCTTCCTAGGGCAATCCATTCCAGTGCCTCACCACCCTCACTGTAAAGAACTTCTTCCTTATATCTAATCTAAACTTCCCCTGTTTAAGTTTAAACCCATTCCCTCTGGCCCTACCACTAGAGTCCCTAATGAAGAGTCCCTCCCCAGCATCCTTATAGGCCCCCTTCAGGTACTGGAAGTCTGAGGTCTCCATGCGGCCTTCTCTTCTCCAGCTGAACAGACCCAACTTTCTCAGTCTGCCCTCATATGTGAGGTGCTCCAGCCCTCTTATCATCCTCGTGGCCCTCCTCTGGACTTGTTCCAACAGTTCCATGTCCTTCTTATGTTGAGGACACCAGAACTGCACACAATATTCCAAGTGAGGTCTCATGAGAGCAGAGCAGGGGGGCAGGATCACCTCCTTTGACCTGCTGGTCATGCTGCTTTTGATGCAGCCCAGGATATGGTTGGCTTTCTGGGCTGTGTGCACACACTGTTGGCTTATGTTAAGCTTCTCATCAACCAACACACCCAAGCCCTTCTCCACAGGGCTGCTCTGAATCTCTTCTCTGCCCAGCCCGTAGCTGTGCCTGGGGTTGTGCTGACCCAGGTGTAGGACCTTG